AACAAAGTCTGGGATAGTATCAGCCCGAGAGTTATGCTAAAAGTACCTTCCAGGGGTGGCTCTCTCATCCTCCTCCTCTTCCTCCTCCTCTTCCTCTTCTTTCTCCTCTCTTCATTTCAGAGGAGCTTCTGAGTCCCCAGCCATGACCACAGCCAGTCAGGCTTCTACATATATATATCTGATTTCCTCACAAAGCATGAGCCTTGCCATCTCCCTGGAAGTTCCCTTCTCCTATTCTCATGCTGGAGAACAGGAAAGTGAGACTGCTCTCGCATGAGAGGGTTGCTGTGTGCAGGTTGATGGAAATTTTGCGGGAAGGCTCTGTTTTGCCTATAGAGAAGGTTCAGCATAAAGGCCCTTTTTTTGGTCAACCTTTAGTCAGGTCCCTCTGAGCCTTTGTCTCCACGAGTCCTCAACTTGGGGCTTCTGTCTGACCTTGCAAAATCCAGTTTTAGCAAGAATCCTGCTAAGTCAGTTTAGAGATAACCTCCCACCCTCACTAGCTGGTCAGGTTCCTCATGCCCCACTTCAGTGTCTGAGTTCTTGGCCTGTGAGATCTACTCAGCAAACCCCCGGCCTTGGCATCTGCTCTTGGTCATTTTCTATCCCCTGACCCCTGACTCTGCTCATTGGTATAAATCCCCAGTTGTGGTTGCTGTATTTGGTGTTGAGTCCCATCTCACTCCCTGTTTCCACAGTCTTGACTCCTATCATAACAGTTCTGAATGAAACCGTTATCATCTTAACAGGTGTCAAAATGGTGTTTTATTTTGCATCCACAGGCAGGGTTGGCCAGTCTTTCCTCAGTATTCAACTCCCTGCTTTGAGATGAGACTAGGTGGTGCTGGCCTCTGGGATGTCTTCCTGTTCCTTTTGCCCCAGAAATAAGCACACTCTAAGTGAATGTCCACCAAGGAAGAGGGGTTGAATCACCAGCAGAGCCATCAGGCACTGGACCGATCACCCATTCACCCATGAAGGAGACTAATTCCTTCCCTGCAGCATTGGTGGGAAGAATGATTGAGGTGACATTTGTAAAAGGAGAAAATAAATGTGGTTATTATTTCAGTGAATTCCACAACTGGGCACAGAAGGAAGAAAGACGGGATATTTAAGATACAGTATACCCCTTAAAGAAGCTAATAATGTAATGGAGAAAGTATATGGCACCACAAAGCAGAATAAGCAACCACATGAAGGAGGAGCAATGCTTTTGAAGGGGTATCCCACTGGAGCTGCGGACCCTGGCCAGGGGATTGATGTAGAGAAGTGGCAGGACCTGTGCTGTGTGGTAAGATCCTGCACCTGAAGCCTGGAGATCACCAAGAGACTCAAGGAGCCCGGACTTTGGAAACAGCCCTTCTGGGGCTCCAGGTGCTTACCTTGCCCAGAACCTAGGGAGCTGCCAGCAGAGGTAGCATGGACAGAGGCTGTCACCAGGCCTGTGCAGGAGGTGCTGGGGCCTGGGCACAATTCCACACTCATGTTCTCATGGGGCAGATACCTCCCCATGAGCAAGGAGAAGGAAGTGAGCAACAGTCATAGATTCTGTGTCCTCATGAGCTTGCCCTGAGAGGGAAGGTGACCAGAAGTCCAGTGAGGGGGATACAGTGCTGGGCAAGTCAGTGGGGAGGATTGTGGCCAAGACAGACATCAAAATAGGGATGCCAGGACACATATGTGTGGGGGGCACATTTCAGTCACCCTCTGAGAGATGTCTCTGGGCCTGACCTTGAAGGCTTCTTGACCTTGGGGGCCACTCCATAGCGTTGGGGGCTGCTTGAGGTCAGGAATACTGCAGAGCAGGAATACTACTTAGCACGTGAGGGTGACAGTGAAAATGGGCACACGTGTGCATACGCACACACACACTCACTCCTACACATTCACACATCCATACCACACATACATATCCACACTCATATTCACTCACACGCTCATTCACACACACCTGTGCACACATACTCACCACACATATACCACACACACCAATATACATACGTGTTCACTCATGCACGCACTCATTCACATTCACACACACATCCACACACCCATACCCTCACATTCACATACACACATACACGTCACACACCATATACAATACACAGGATATCCATTAAAGAAACTAACAATGGAATGGAGACGGTATATGGGACCACAAAAGAGGACAAGTCACTACATGAAAGAGACACACCCTGTACTTTCTGGCAGTGAAATCAGGACAGTTCCCCAGGAGTTTGTAGCGACCCCTGCCTCAATATCAGGGGCTGAGCAGAGCAGTGCTTCAAAAGGGGCATCCTGCTGGGGCTGGGGACCAGCATACACACATACTCACACAAACACTGCATGTACATTCTCTTCCTCTCTCTCTCTCTCTCTCTCTCTCTCTCTCTCTCACACACACACACACACACACACACACACACACACACACACACACACACATTGTACCAGGACTCCTCTGCCTGCTTTCTGCTGCTGGTGTTGGGCTGTCACCACCCATGCCAACATACTTACCTCCCGCAACATTCTCACCCTCATGGGTACCCACCCCTGAGATGCTGAGCCCATCCACAATCTGAACTGAAAGGTCCAGGACTAGCCACAGAGGAGCGCCTTGTGGGTGTGGCAGCGATGACAGCAGCAGGATCTGCGTGGGAGTGCCTGCTACAGTTCTAGAGCCTCTGGCTGGCAAAGGGTCATATTATTCCCCTGTTGAAATGTGGCATCTGACACTCAGAGAACTGAGTTATCCCAGGTCACAGACTTTGCAAGAGGTGAGGATAGAACTCAGCCTGGAGACCAGCACCAAACAAGATGCTGGGACAGTTTCTATGAGACGGGAGTGATGTGCGGTGAGGCACTGGTGCCCAGGAGCACTCCCAAAGGGGTAACGCAAGGGGGAAGGAAGTTCTGGGCTGTTTGGTCAAGACATCCATGTACCAGTGCTTCATATACTATACCACTGTCCACCTCCAGAAGAGTCTCGTGAGCTCAACACAGTTCTCTTTATACTACTAGTGGGGAAACTGAGGCTCGGGGAAGATGCATCACTAGCTTCAAGTCATCTGTGTAAAACACTGAAGAGCATGGCTTTCAGTCAGGCCTTTGCGACTCTACTCCATTGCCTGTCTACCCAGCAAGCCCTGCATGAAGAGGAAACAGACTCATGGCCTTTCCCCTTAGATAGCAGAGCTGGCCTCCATCCAGACCAGGACCATCCCTGGGACAAGCGTGGCCCCTGACTGCTTGTGTTGTAGCGTTGGCTCAGGAGCAAACCTGTCCTGGTGGACTGCACAGGGTGACCAGCAGGTGGCTCTGGGTAGAGAGTTCACGTGAGGCTGAGGAGGACAGTCCCTGAGTCTTCTCCTTTTCAGACTTAGCTGGTTGCTCAGTAGGTCCTGGGCCCTGGGGAGGGCACAATCGTGGATGTAGTGGGGGCTACGATCACTCTCCACAGCAACAAGTAGACCTTGCATGCCTATGGGAATCGGCAGCCTACAGGGATCTCTTCCCCAACCCCTCAAGAGCCCTGGGAATCAGGGCAGCCTGATGATTGCTGTATTGGTTGGCAGGGAGATTGAGGACAGAGAGCCCAAATTAGCAAGTGACAGAGCTGGAGTGTGTTAGAGATAGGGGCAATTCTCTCCCTAGACACAGGGCAGGATAGCACAACCCATTGCGTTGAGTAAGGTGTGGCACTGGGAGTAGACAGTTTCCGTGGCCAGCACTGGGTTCTGTGGTGCCTCCCTGGTCAAGGTCATAGGGAGCCTCCTGGGAGACTCCCACTTGCCAGTCTACAGGGGACTCTTAGCACGAGGAAAGATGGAGCCTGAGGTCTTTGTGTTCAGCCTCTGAGCATGGGGCTGCTAGTCATGCAGCATAACCTAACCTCTTCCAACTGGCAGTAGAGCTGCTTTCCCACCCTGCACACAGACACCCACCCTTTTCAGCTTGTGGCCACTGTCTGTGATAAAGGAGAAGTCAGTGGTCCTTCTCCTAGCCACACTGCCCTATCCTGACTGTGCACTGATCAGAAACCCCCAGAGTAGCTCACCAAGGCCTGTCTTTTGGGAGAAGCCGGGAGAGGTTCCAGACCAGACTGGGCCCTTTAAGGCATGAGTACTGAGATCCCTACCCAGGAGGAAAAGGGGCCAGCCTGTGGGGTCCTGTGGCAGCTGCAGCCCAGCCTTCTGTGGCCGTTCCACCCAGGACACTCCTCGCAGTAAAGGCTGGGGTCTTGTCTATCCACCTTGATGCCTCCAAAGACCAATGAAGTCTCTTTAAAACAAAGCACGTACCATTGGATGGTCCAGGACTCATCCACAGCCACAGCTGTCCTGGGTCAATATTTTATAAAGAGCAGCTGGAAAGTGACAGGTGTGATCTCCATCCGGGTGTTCTTAGGTGGTGGGGTGTGGGCCGCACTGCTTTTTGGAGATTTGAGCAGATTTCCCTGGAAAGGGAGTCCTTTAGACATGGCTTTCCTTGGGGAGTCCTGAGTGGGGCTCTGTTCTCGAGATATCCAGAGGTGTGTGAGAACCTGGGGACAAGAAAATGCTTTGTGGTGGTCAACCTTGCCTGAAGTCAGGGAGAAAATAAAATAGAACAAATGCCTTTTGAATCTCAAGTGGCTACGCGTTTGACCAGTGGAGAGACCTAGGACTCAGCCTCTGTGTGGGGATATGGATGCTCACAGTGATGACAGACACCCAAGCAGTGCTGTGGCCAGCTGCTGTCCCCTCATCTGGGGCTGGGCTTCAGTAGTCATCCTTGCAGGTGCAGAAAAACCTAGAGTGTTCACAGATTGTGCATGATCCCTGCACAGGCAGGAGCCAGCAACGCTGTGAGGGCCACAGGTATTGTGTCCAGGAAAAATGTCCATGTCTCTGCTCTGACCCAGGGTGTCCCTGTGCTGGTTTCCCACCTGCCGTCCCCACCAGCCATACCGGCTACAGCCCCTCTCCCAGGACACCACGGCCAGGGAACAAAAGCCATGCTTATCAAAGGATTTTTTCTTTATTTTCATAATTTAGCTGAATCAACACAAAATTGAATACTGTAAAACAAGAAAAAAAAATATGCTGTAACATCTTAAATCTCCTGGTCTCTGCAGTCGTAGGTGTCTACACTCACTTTCAAAAGAAACAGGAGAGGAAGAGGCGGTGGGAACCCTGGGTGGTCAGAAGTGTGCTAAGTCTGACGGCCATCCCAGGACCTCCTGTCCTGCTCCCGGAGCAGGTTCAGGCTACTGGAGCCTGGGACAGTTGGGGACAGCTCAGGACAGCACCTTTCCTGGCCCACCACCTCTGTGATGAAAAACCCAAATCTCAGCCATTTCTTTTAGTCCAGGATACAAATACCTCTAAATTTGTGGTGACTGGAAGGTAAAATAAGTCCTCATAGATATTGGAATAGGTCTTAAATAAATGGATTTTCTTTCCTATCTTTAGTCTATGGTTGCTGGAACAGCTTCTATATAGTTATTTTTTTTTAACTTTTTTTTTAGTAGCATAGAACTAGCATAATACTCATGTTAATTGGACTCTTAGGTAGTATACTTCAGCAAAAACTCAGGAAAATGAAGGATCCTGGTGTAGAATCACCAGGAGAAGATAAAACAGAATTATCCCTTATTTCTCAGCTCTCCTGGCCCCACCTCGTAGGGAAGCCCCAGCACCTGCTGTTCTTGGTTCTCTCTATGCCTCTGCCCAGCCCCGCTTTCTCTACCTACTGACACAAAGACAGAGGACTTCTGAGAATGAGGGGACACGTGGACTTGGGAAGAGGAGTTGCAAACTGGCCTCAAGGTCTGTGAATGGCAAAAGGGGCAAGATACAGGAAACAAAATCCATTGGAAGAGGCATGATCAAAATATTGTACACTCAGTGTTTACCAATACATAGACCAAAGCGGGGAGGGAATGAGTCACCAAGTCCAACCTAGAGCAACAGGAAACCTTGCCTTCCCCAGCCCTGGCTGGACACCATGGTCCTGGGCTCGCTTCTCCCAGAGTCCTGCCTTCCACGCCTGTCACCCTGAGGTCCGCAGGGCACCACCTTCCCACTGTGTCCCACCCCCAGAGTCTTCAGGAACACATGGGGCTCGGCCCGACTCCTGGGATGGCTGGGGCTGTCACGTTAATTGTTAAATAGGATTTTCTACAAATATACAACATATAAAAACTGTTAAATATATAACTTTAGGCTTTGCAAAATACATTTAATGATCTCTTTCAAACAAGTGTTACTTTAGTTTTCTTTAATTTGCTTTCTGGAGCTAAATGGTGCATCGGATGAGACAGCAGTCACGGGAGACCCAACATGCTCTTGGCAAATACTGGTTTATCCAACTATCAAAAATGGAGCTGTAGAAGAGGCATGTTTAACTGGTTAAAACAGAAAGTGATTTTAGTACGATAAAGTCGATCTAAGTACAGAGGAGTAAAGTGGTCTGTGTTCCCGGGGGGCTCTCGGTGACTGCGTGGGGACCATCGCCAGCCGCGTCCCGGCCAGTTCCCGCAGGTATGCCGTGGCCTCCTTCCAGCAAGAGCCCATCCTTCTAGGGTGCACTGGAGTGTTCGTGGGGCGGAGGCCTCCGCCACAGCTGCCCTCTCCACTCTGCCAGGGCCACCAGCATGTCTGCCACCGTGCCCCACCCCGCCCTCACAATTGAACCCAGGGACTCTGACAATAAGAGTGCGTCCACGTTAAAATAGATTTTGCTCTTTGGTCTATTGAGTATACTGAAAGTATAAGAAAATAAAAGCAATTCACACAGTCTGGGGCACGAGAAGAGGCGGCTTCAGCACCTGATAGTCCCCTGGGCCGTGCGTTGTGTGTGTCTAAGGCTGGCTGGGCTGCAGCCTCTTCTGGCCACCGGTGCCTCTGTGTCCTCCTCCTCGACCTTGTCCTCCTCCTCCACAAAGAAGAGCAGGGCCAACGCCACGGCCAGTAGAGGGTGGGCGTGGCCAGGCTCCCACAGACCACGTATTGCTGTTGCCCAGTGCTGCCTCCCGCCTGTGTCCGAGTCTGGCCTCCTCAGGTCAGCTGGACAAACTGGAGCTCAGGACGCCGAGGAGTGAGGCTGTCCTTGGCGGGCCACAGGGAAATAGAGATTGGGCGGGTGGCAGAGAATGGGTGAAGTCCGAGCTGAACGCAGGACTGTGGCCGAGGTGTGGACTCTCCAGGGAGCCAAGGCCACTCCTGGGGGCCCCTCAGGGGCTGTGTGTGTCAGGAGACCTGCAGAGCAAAGAGAAGAGAGAGTCAGCCCCTTGCAGACACTGTGCACAGCTACATGGAACACACACTCCTTCTCTTCCCTTCCCAACTCATGCCAGGGGACTGTCTTGAAGGGCTGAAACTAAGAGTGCTGCAGAGGAGATCTGGGCTCTTCAAAGATAGTGCTGCGGAAACAACACCTTCCTTATGTCTCGGGATGGAGAGGCACCCCCTGTGCAAGACCCAGAGAGCACTGTCAGCCTCAGGAAGATCACCTGGTTTCATGACTTGCTGGCTTCCTTTCTCCACATGGCATTTTGCCACTCTCCAGTTCAGGAACTGCCTGTGCCTCCTCATCTCCTATGTCTAATTTAAACCTCTCCCAGCTACCTCGGTCTTTAAAGCCACTTCCTTTAAGGCAAGAGGTGCTGTCCTGGGCTACAGATGGCAGGGCTCATTTAATAGGTCCACTGCCTAGCTGGTTGATCTGGTTACACTCACACCACAGAGTCACCCTCTTTCTCACTGTCCATACTGGGCTCCTGCAGGTGTTTGTGTCTCCAGTGCTTCCTGACCACATACTGGCTGACTTGGGATAACGAGTATTACTCTCCCCCACTTTTGGAGGCCAGAATCTGAAATTAAGATGTGGGCAAGCTTGGTTCCTTCTGGAGGCTCTGAGGGAGAATCCATACCAGGCCGCTCTCTGAGCTTCTGGTGCTCAGAACAGCAACCCTTGGCTTGAAGATGCATCACCCCAAACTGTCTCCATCTTCATGTGCAAATTGTGTCTTCTCTTCTGTGTTTTCTCTTCTCTTTTCCTTAAAACAGACGCCTGTCATTGGATTTAAGACCCACTTTAATACAGGATGACTTCATCTCAAGATCTTTGATCCTTAACTGAGTGACATCTACAAAAACCCTTTTTCTAAATTAGCCCCAACTTCAGGTCCTAGGTGAAATATCTCTGGGAGCCCCCATCTACCTGCTGCAGGGTCCTGTCTGTCCTTTCTGCTCTGGTCTTTCCTCATGCCCTAACCTGCTCGTATGTCTCATCTTCTCCCATGCCAGCTGCCTGATCTCAGACTGATTTCTTGGTGGGACCCTCCGCCTCCAGTCTTCCCAAGCTTGGCAAATGGCACCAACCTACACTCTAAGCTCAGCCCATAAAGCTGGAGCCAGCAGTGATTGACCCAAGCCTGTAAAGCCCACCTGTCTCGGGCCCATTATCCTGCTGCCCGAGATGTGACAGAGCCCATCCCCTCTTCTGCCTGTCCACAATGTTGTCCAGTCAGCCATGTCATGTGAAGGTGGCCAGAGCACCTCTATTCAGATACTCATTTGGCCCACAAAGGGTGACTCAAGAAAGAAGTTACCAATTTTAATTTTCTTTACTAACAAAACTATACAAAATCTTATTCATAGGAAAACTGAAGAGTGTAAGACAAAAGTTCACCCACATTTCTATATCAAAAAGATAAATATTTTGGAGATTTTATAGGGTTTTATTCCATCTTTTAATAATGCATACATATATAGATATATATGTATGTATATGTTTCTCCCAGGTGTGTGACCTGGGTCATTTATATATATATATAAAATAAGGTCGGGAGTTTTGCACAAACTTCTGCATTCTGTCTGTGAGAGTGCATCTGCAGTATCTCCTATAGTATTAGAAATCAGAGGACAAGCGTGTTCATACAGGATGGTTGCGGATGGGTCTAACACTGCTGACCTGCTCTCCCACACCCTGGCTGCTGGGCCATTTGGGTCTCTTGTTTTGTGTGTCCAGGCTAACTACTACACAGGCCCCCAAACTGCGTGATTCTGCCAGCAGGCCAGCAAGGCTCAGCCCACAACATCACTAGTGCAGAGCACTGCAATGTAAGAACCTTCATCAATTTAAAAGAGAAGAAGCAGTATTTTGTTGTAGTTCCATCTTTATGTTTTTGGATGATTAGAAAAGTAGAATAACTTTCCAAATATGCTTACTGGTCAGCTGTCATTTGTTCCTATTCTGCGTTGCCATATGCAGTTGAGATTTGTTTCTCTTGCCAATTTGAGAACGTGTGTCTGTATAATTGCACATACACTTTCATGTGTTTCTCTAAAAGAGTCACCCTTCCCATATTCATTGTAGACTTATTTTGCAGCTTTGTCCATCTTTTGCTTTTATTTATATTATATAAGATAAAGTGAAGTCTTTATTTCTGTGTATTAAAGGCCACTAATTTTTCAAGTGAATCTCCACCATTGCTAAAACAATGAATATTCATTACACATATTTTAGTAATTTCTTACAGTAATCGTTTTTTAACAGCTCTAGATTCATCTGGAATGTCTTGGGACAAGATCAGGGATTATCAATTTTATCTTTTTGTCCAGAACCTATGAGTGAGTGGGGGATTCCCCCAGGACCCTTGCGACAGTCGCTCAGAGGTGGACTCCCCTGTTCTTTAGGACAGATTGAGGGATAGCGGCTACCTCAGGGTCGCATGGGGTGGGTAAGAACCAAGCTTTCTTGAAGGGCTCAGTGCAGTCTGACTCATATCTTTCTGCTACTCTTCCCAAGGAGGCTTCATCGTTCTCGCATCACTGCTGACTCCCCAGCTAGCCATCAAACATCACTAGAGTTTTATTCATTCCTAGGATTTCATGGTCCTTCATACCACCCGCCATAAGCAGAGCCATCAGGGGTGCAGTATGAGCCTCGGCACAACACACTGCAGTCACATTATAGGTGGGCTCAAAGGAATGGAGTTGGGGTGGGGGCGAGGACATGTGCTCTCCCTCTCCTGGGTCATTTCACTTCCCATCTCAGAATCTGTGAATTGGAAACCTCCATGGTCTCTCTTTGCTCCTGGGGCCACAGAACAGCTGAGAAGGATGCTGGAGGGTCTGCCAGCTTCTGCCTGCATTGAGCTGCTGCGGCCGAGGCAGTCATGCACACTCCAGTGCCTTCCAGGGTTAGAGCCTGCTATATGCATCTGGGCAGCTCCAGAAAAAAATGCCCTGTGCTGAGGGTATGGCTCTGGAGCACTGGGCTAACATGCTTGGGTACTGCCCCAATGAGCTTTGCTGCCCCAGGCCACAGGGTAGCACTCAGGACCCATATTGTAACCAGCCCATGTGTATTGGGCAGGTTCTCACTGTCCACAGAGGCTGCACTGTGAGGGGACAGAGTGAGGGAGGGTGAGCAGGGGTGAGTCAAAGGCAAAGCTTAACAAATATCGTATGTTGCTCCCATAACATTAAACTGTAGCCACCTGCCAACACACTCAACAGCCTGGCAGTCCCCCCAGTTTTTGGCAGAAACCAGCAAAGCCCTCTGGGTCTTGGAGAAGGGTGTTCACATTGGGAATTCTGTGACTGAGTGACTGAGGCACATCACAGTGAGGAACACGCAGCTTTGAACATGCTGTCCCATCAGGTGGAGGTTTTCCTGATCAGGAGAGAGTTAGTGGTGGGCTCATCCCCATACCTAAGTGTGGTAATGGTGTCACGCCGCAATACGACTCCTCTCATCTCTATGCGTTCCTGGTTTTTTCTGCTGTAGCACAGTGTCCTGAAACCAGCTGGCCAGACTCCAGGGGATACCCCAGGCAGTTGTCCTGGCTACGTCTGGTGGGCTGCTCTCTTCATGTCAGAGTCACGAGGTTGAGCTGGAGCCATGGCAAATGTGGCATGAGTTAGAGAGCTGGTTCTCACCTTAGGACAGAAGACAAGGGAGCATCCCAGAAGCTCCAGGCTTGGTGGGGCCTTACTGTGCCATGTGGCCTAAAGCTAGGACTGACCCATGTGTGTGTACCCAGCTAACATCCCATTTGTGACTTGCCTACCATGTCATCTGCCTTCCTGGCCTAGGTTCTCATGTTAGTGAGACCTCTGACCTCTCTTGCTCCAGGAGGATTATCTTCTAACAGGAGGCCAAGGCCCTGGAGTGCAGCTTGACCTGACACTTACCCTGTCCCTGGGTTCCAAGCATCGCTGGGACTCTGCCCAAGAGCTCGTCTTGGCCAAAAAACCCATCCTGGGACCTCAGCACCATAGAAAGTCGTGGGTGGGTCCCTCTGGGCACCTGCTCACTTCAGTGTGGCTTCCATCTTCCTTGTGGTCAAATCCATTACAAATCCAGGGGTGATGACAATGAGTATCTCTGAAACTGCAGCATCTCCCCAGTCCCAGGGTTCCTCATGGCCTAGGGGTCATGTCCACAACCAGTACCACCAGCACTTCCTAAGCTCCGTGGCATGTAGGTCAGTGCTCTGGGTACAATGTTGCTATCACCCTGTCAGATCCCGTCCATCCAACAGGGCTCAAGGCATTAGAACCCAAGACTCAATGGGAATTGAGGCTCATAAGAGTGAAGGGGACTGACAGACAAACCTTACACTCGTGTCTTTGTGACGAGGAGCCTCAGTCGCCTCCCCTCTGGCTTTCTGGAGCTGCCACCAGAGCCTTCCTGCAGCCATGCCCAGCCAGCCCTCCCTGCTGGTGGAGATGGACAGTGTCCTGGATCACAGTCTGTGTGACTCCTTGCTATGCTACCAGGGCCGGGAAAGGAAGTTGGCTCTGAGCTTCTATCTGCTGAGATCGTGAGCATTTAGTTATCGACAATCTCAAGGTCATGGCCTGCATCCTCCATGTCTGCAGTTATTATTCTGGAACTCAGTTCCTTAGAAGAGGTCAAAACTGGCCTCAGAGAGTGAATGCATCTATCACACAGGGCTGTGGGCACACACCAAACTGACACTAACAGTGTGGTCCGCTTCTCCCGCGGTCATTTGCTGCTTGGTTGATGCAAGTGTTTCTGTTGTGAGGGACAAGAGTGCTGGGTCCTGAGTATGGGGGTATGTGTTCAGCTTATGTAAGAAGGTGGGTTCTAGGTCTTCCATGAACTGACTGCTCTAATAGAGTCCTTTCAGTTGGCCTTGCTAGGAAAGCCAAGTTTTCTATCATGGATAAAAAGGTTTATCCTGTACTTGGACACTGTAATGTATCCCATAAAACAAAACAAA